TAGTGTTTAACAGCAGACGGCGCTCTAGGCTAGTGTTTAACAGCAGACGGTGCTCTAGGCTAGTGTTTAACAGCAGACGGTGCTCTAGGCTAGAGAGCTTTTATGACGTGAGATTAATCTAAACAGCCACTTCAAACAGACTTGTTGTTTTCTTCAAGATTTTCAAACTTTATGAATGATTATTTTATAGAAGGTTCAAGTGGTGTGTGTGTGTAAGGCATTGGAAGCCAGCAGAGTACGGCTGTTTCTAAAGCACCCACTTCAACTGCTGTTAAAAACAAAGCTAAGAATCAGAGAGAGAGAATCGCCAGTGAGAGCTTGGTTCTCCTGTGCTTGTGGATGATCAGTCAGTGGATGAGAGCTTGGTTCTCCTGTGCGTGTGGATGATCAGCCAGTGGATGAGAGCTTGGTTCTCCTGTGTGTGTGGATGATCAGCCAGTGGATGAGAGCTTGGTTCTCCTGTGTGTGTGGATGATCAGCCAGTGGATGAGAGCTTGGTTCTCCTGTGTGTGTGGATGATCAGCCAGTGGATGAGAGCTTGGTTCTCAGTGGATGAGAGCTTCTTTCTCCTGTGTGTGTGGATGATCAGTCAGTGGATGAGAGCTTGGTTCTCCTGTGCTTGTGGATGATCAGTCAGTGGATGAGAGCTTGGTTCTCCTGTGTGTGTGGATGATCAGCCAGTGGATGAGAGCTTGGTTCTCCTGTGCGTGTGGATGATCAGCCAGTGGATGAGAGCTTGGTTCTCCCGTGTGTGTGGATGATCAGCCAGTGGATGAGAGCTTGGTTCTCCTGTGCGTGTGGATGATCAGCCAGTGGATGAGAGCTTGGTTCTCAGTGGATGAGAGCTTCTTTCTCCCGTGTGTGTGGATGATCAGTCAGTGGATGAGAGCTTGGTTCTCCTGTGCTTGTGGATGATCAGCCAGTGGATGAGAGCTTGGTTCTCAGTGGATGAGAGCTTCTTTCTCCCGTGTGTGTGGATGATCAGCCAGTGGATGAGAGCTTGGTTCTCCTGTGCGTGTGGATGATCAGCCAGTGGATGAGAGCTTGGTTCTCAGTGGATGAGAGCTTCTTTCTCCCGTGTGTGTGGATGATCAGTCAGTGGATGAGAGCTTGGTTCTCCTGTGTGTGTGGATGATCAGCCAGTGGATGAGAGCTTGGTTCTCCTGTGCGTGTGGATGATCAGCCAGTGGATGAGAGCTTGGTTCTCCCGTGTGTGTGGATGATCAGCCAGTGGATGAGAGCTTGGTTCTCCTGTGTGTGTGGATGATCAGCCAGTGGATGAGAGCTTGGTTCTCAGTGGATGAGAGCTTCTTTCTCCCGTGTGTGTGGATGATCAGTCAGTGGATGAGAGCTTGGTTCTCCTGTGCTTGTGGATGATCAGTCAGTGGATGAGAGCTTGGTTCTCCTGTGTGTGTGGATGATCAGCCAGTGGATGAGAGCTTGGTTCTCCTGTGCGTGTGGATGATCAGCCAGTGGATGAGAGCTTGGTTCTCCCGTGTGTGTGGATGATCAGCCAGTGGATGAGAGCTTGGTTCTCCTGTGCGTGTGGATGATCAGCCAGTGGATGAGAGCTTGGTTCTCCTGTGCGTGTGGATGATCAGCCAGTGGATGAGAGCTTGGTTCTCCTGTGCGTGTGGATGATCAGACAGTGGATGAGAGCTTGGTTCTCCCGTGTGTGTGGATGATCAGCCAGTGGATGAGAGCTTGGTTCTCCTGTGCGTGTGGATGATCAGCCAGTGGATGAGAGCTTGGTTCTCCTGTGTGTGTGGATGATCAGCCAGTGGATGAGAGCTTGGTTCTCCTGTGTGTGTGGATGATCAGCCAGTGGATGAGAGCTTGGTTCTCCTGTGCGTGTGGATGATCAGCCAGTGGATGAGAGCTTGGTTCTCCCGTGTGTGTGGATGATCAGCCAGTGGATGAGAGCTTGGTTCTCCTGTGTGTGTGGATGATCAGCCAGTGGATGAGAGCTTGGTTCTCCTGTGCGTGTGGATGATCAGCCAGTGGATGAGAGCTTGGTTCTCCTGTGCGTGTGGATGATCAGCCAGTGGATGAGAGCTTGGTTCTCCCGTGTGTGTGGATGATCAGCCAGTGGATGAGAGCTTGGTTCTCCCGTGTGTGTGGATGATCAGCCAGTGGATGAGAGCCTGGTTCTCCTGTGTGTGTGGATGATCAGCCAGTGGATGAGAGCTTGGTTCTCCTGTGCGTGTGGATGATCAGCCAGTGGATGAGAGCTTGGTTCTCCTGTGCGTGTGGATGATCAGCCAGTGGATGAGAGCTTGGTTCTCCTGTGTGTGTGGATGATCAGCCAGTGGATGAGAGCTTGGTTCTCCTGTGCGTGTGGATGATCAGCCAGTGGATGAGAGCTTGGTTCTCCTGTGCGTGTGGATGATCAGTCAGTGGATGAGAGCTTGGTTCTCCTGTGTGTGTGGATGATCAGCCAGTGGATGAGAGCTTGGTTCTCCTGTGCGTGTGGATGATCAGACAGTGGATGAGAGCTTGGTTCTCCTGTGTGTGTGGATGATCAGACAGTGGATGAGAGCTTGGTTCTCCTGTGCGTGTGGATGATCAGCCAGTGGATGAGAGCTTGGTTCTCCTGTGCGTGTGGATGATCAGCCAGTGGATGAGAGCTTGGACACACAGGTTCTCCTGTGTGTGTGGATGATCAGCCAGTGGATGAGAGCTTGGTTCTCCCGTGTGTGTGGATGATCAGCCAGTGGATGAGAGCTTGGTTCTCCCGTGTGTGTGGATGATCAGCCAGTGGATGAGAGCTTGGTTCTCCCGTGTGTGTGGATGATCAGCCAGTGGATGAGAGCTTGGTTCTCCTGTGTGTGTGGATGATCAGCCAGTGGATGAGAGCTTGGTTCTCCTGTGTGTGTGGATGATCAGCCAGTGGATGAGAGCTTGGTTCTCCTGTGCGTGTGGATGATCAGCCAGTGGATGAGAGCTTGGTTCTCCTGTGTGTGTGGATGATCAGCCAGTGGATGAGAGCTTGGTTCTCCTGTGTGTGTGGATGATCAGCCAGTGGATGAGAGCTTGGTTCTCCTGTGCGTGTGGATGATCAGCCAGTGGATGAGAGCTTGGTTCTCCTGTGCGTGTGGATGATCAGCCAGTGGATGAGAGCTTGGTTCTCCCGTGTGTGTGGATGATCAGCCAGTGGATGAGAGCTTGGTTCTCCCGTGTGTGTGGATGATCAGCCAGTGGATGAGAGCTTGGTTCTCCTGTGTGTGTGGATGATCAGCCAGTGGATGAGAGCTTGGTTCTCCTGTGCGTGTGGATGATCAGCCAGTGGATGAGAGCTTGGTTCTCCCGTGTGTGTGGATGATCAGCCAGTGGATGAGAGCTTGGTTCTCCTGTGTGTGTGGATGATCAGCCAGTGGATGAGAGCTTGGTTCTCCTGTGCGTGTGGATGATCAGCCAGTGGATGAGAGCTTGGTTCTCCCGTGTGTGTGGATGATCAGCCAGTGGATGAGAGCTTGGTTCTCCTGTGTGTGTGGATGATCAGCCAGTGGATGAGAGCTTGGTTCTCCTGTGCGTGTGGATGATCAGCCAGTGGATGAGAGCTTGGTTCTCCTGTGCGTGTGGATGATCAGACAGTGGATGAGAGCTTGGTTCTCCTGTGCGTGTGGATGATCAGCCAGTGGATGAGAGCTTGGTTCTCCCGTGTGTATGGATGATCAGCCAGTGGATGAGAGCTTGGTTCTCCTGTGTGTGTGGATGATCAGCCAGTGGATGAGAGCTTGGTTCTCCTGTGTGTGTGGATGATCAGCCAGTGGATGAGAGCTTGGTTCTCCTGTGTGTGTGGATGATCAGCCAGTGGATGAGAGCTTGGTTCTCCTGTGCGTGTGGATGATCAGCCAGTGGATGAGAGCTTGGTTCTCCTGTGCGTGTGGATGATCAGACAGTGGATGAGAGCTTGGTTCTCCTGTGCGTGTGGATGATCAGCCAGTGGATGAGAGCTTGGTTCTCCCGTGTGTGTGGATGATCAGCCAGTGGATGAGAGCTTGGTTCTCCTGTGCGTGTGGATGATCAGCCAGTGGATGAGAGCTTGGTTCTCCTGTGCGTGTGGATGATCAGCCAGTGGATGAGAGCTTGGTTCTCCCGTGTGTGTGGATGATCAGCCAGTGGATGAGAGCTTGGTTCTCCTGTGTGTGTGGATGATCAGCCAGTGGATGAGAGCTTGGTTCTCCTGTGTGTGTGGATGATCAGCCAGTGGATGAGAGCTTGGTTCTCCTGTGTGTGTGGATGATCAGCCAGTGGATGAGAGCTTGGTTCTCCTGTGCGTGTGGATGATCAGCCAGTGGATGAGAGCTTGGTTCTCCTGTGCGTGTGGATGATCAGACAGTGGATGAGAGCTTGGTTCTCCTGTGTGTGTGGATGATCAGCCAGTGGATGAGAGCTTGGTTCTCCTGTGTGTGTGGATGATCAGCCAGTGGATGAGAGCTTGGTTCTCCTGTGCGTGTGGATGATCAGCCAGTGGATGAGAGCTTGGTTCTCCTGTGCGTGTGGATGATCAGACAGTGGATGAGAGCTTGGTTCTCCTGTGTGTGTGGATGATCAGCCAGTGGATGAGAGCTTGGTTCTCCTGTGCGTGTGGATGATCAGCCAGTGGATGAGAGCTTGGTTCTCCTGTGCGTGTGGATGATCAGCCAGTGGATGAGAGCTTGGTTCTCCTGTGTGTGTGGATGATCAGCCAGTGGATGAGAGCTTGGTTCTCCCGTGTGTGTGGATGATCAGCCAGTGGATGAGAGCTTGGTTCTCCTGTGTGTGTGGATGATCAGCCAGTGGATGAGAGCTTGGTTCTCCTGTGTGTGTGGATGATCAGCCAGTGGATGAGAGCTTGGTTCTCCTGTGCGTGTGGATGATCAGCCAGTGGATGAGAGCTTGGTTCTCCTGTGCGTGTGGATGATCAGCCAGTGGATGAGAGCTTGGTTCTCCTGTGCGTGTGGATGATCAGTCAGTGGATGAGAGCTGTTGTGATGTGTGGTTTCTTCTGTCCGCAGGTCTGGATCTGTCTGATCGCTCTCGGCGTCTCTCGGCTCGACTTCACCGGATCCGTTCGGTTTCCACCCGCCGTCCTCATCGATGAACAGCCAGAGTTCGACTCCTGAACCAAACGCATGATCGCATCCAAAGTGTGAACGTTTGTTCTTCTAATGTGAGGAACGTCCATACTGTGACAAACAGTACAATCCAAATATTTGTTTCTTTTCCTGTTTCTTTTCCTGTTTCCTTTCCTGATCCGTGGCTCTTTTCCTTCGCCACGGTTTATAGATCTACTATTGTAGGTCTGGCAGAACTGATAGAGTAGATCTACTGAACTAAGTTATTTACAGCAACAGCTGCAGAAATATGCGTTTAAAATCATTCATTACTGAAATGATAAAAGAACAGTCTGTGAAGATAATTCAGTTTATGACACACTAACTTCCTAACGACTCGTTTGCTGATGATCGGCCGACTGGAGGATTTCAACAGTTATTTAAAGGTTCTTACATATTTGTTGTTTTTGTTAACATGAATAAACCGATGAGGTGTTTTATAATCTGTAGTAATATTTTCAAACTAAAACATGTGTTTTAAGTGAATAGCTGAATCAAAGAATGGGTATTTATTGAATGAAATGAACAGCATCAGACGCCGTCGGCTCGTGGATCTGTCGACTGGATCGGAGTCTGTATCTGGGCTGAAATCAAACGCCCTGGTTCTCGTTTCTGCCAATAAATCTTTCATCCATCATCATTTTCATTGAATCATTTCACATCCATGCTGATTTTTCAATTTTTTAAAGATTCTGTTATTGTGCACGCTACTTCAACCCTTCATCTGTTTGGTCAACAGATTTTCTGCCTTCGTTTGACAATATAACAGCAGTGAGACGTTAGAGAACAAAACGGGTTTCTGACTGACGTATAGTTCGATAAGATGCAGCTTTTTAAAAACCTTTCAAGAAGCCACAAAAGTGCCTTTAAATCAATTCGACAAACTGCTTCTTTCCAGGTCACATTCTACATGTCATTGATCTTCTGAAGTTTCGTCTCATTCATGTTTGTGCTCTGAAATGCCAGTCGTAATGACTTTAATTTACTGTGTGTTTCTCTCGTAAAAACAGATGTGAGTTATTGTGGCGTAACCCGTGTTTCGTTCTGGTGTTTGTTTTAAACACATTCCATGCTGTGAAACATGAAGAATGGCTGATGTATTTATGTTTGCACGACATGATCCATATGCCCTGATGAACCTGATGTACATTATTGACACTGTACATGCTGACTAACGAATAAAAGTCCAAAATGTCACCAGCTTCAAGTTTGATGTCAGATGTTTTATTGCTACAGAAACCACAATTGTGGCAGAACTGTGTGAATCTGCAGAAAATAACATATTGTGTGCAAACAGACAAGATTGTGCAGCAATGTAGGGAAAAATCATGTTTCAATTACACAAGTATAGCCTATACATACAAGTACCTGACAATATGAAGTGCACTTTGTCCACCATCAACTAAAATAAGTTACATAAATAAACAAATTTATAAAATAACAATTTTTTTGCTTTGTTAGTCTGTCTCAGATCTGCCTTCATAAGCAAGTATGCATACATTAATGTTAATACACTGATGTGTGCATATGATGACATGACACGGAGACGAGTGTGTGTTAAACGGACCTCAGCTGATGACCCGTCAAACGCATCAGTCACCGCTTCACATGATGTTCATACATAAACCTGCTAGTTTATAACAGCAGATATTCATCAACACAAGTGCTTTAGTGCGCTAGTCAACACATCAACACACGTGCCCTTCTTTAAAGCACTACAAAAGATTATTAAGACATGATTTAAAATGTACTTGAAAGTAAAACCTAATGTAATTAGACATTATTTAAAGGTGTACCTGAGTGTGTTAAGAAACCGTAATGAACATGTACAGCTAAAAGGCCTTTTATTTCACTGATATAAGTACAGTTTAAGAAACACAGGTTTGAAGTGCTCATTTAATAGAGTTAAGTGCACTTCTTTTTCACAAGGGTGGTGATATATACGCCTCGCTGATGCCTCTGAGATCGGCTGTGGAGGTTCCTGAGTCTGGAAGTCAGTCGTTCAGTGAGCGATCACGGAGAACGAGAGTCCGGTGTGAAGCCTCACCGGGAACAGTGAATCTCCCGGACTCCAGCGGTTCCCCAGAGACTTACAGAATCTCCATTCATTCACACGTTTGGCAGATGCTTTTATCTAGAGAGTCTAACACTTCCAGCATCGCAGTTTCATTCATGATGTCTGACAGATGTCCAGATGAATGCTAGCCCTTTATCAACAGAGGATTTGCACTCAATCAAGATCTCTGGCACGGCCATTGTCTGATTTGTGCTGTTTTAGTAATTTTGCTGTGAATCATCACTGCACATGATGTGAATTACGCTTTAATAAGACAGAAACAGTATCTCACTCACCTCAAATACACATCAATGCTTTAGTCTGTAAGCCTATTAGTTGTCATGGTGGCTAATGGATGTGTTGCGTAGGTTCGTCCCTGATGACATGACCAGCACTTTAATGGCAGATTTGTGTTTTATCCCTGTGTGTGTGTGTGTGTGTGTGTGTGTGTGTTCAGGCTTCAGCTGGTTGGTTCAGTTAGTATGGAAACGTATTATGGAAGCTTGTTTTACAGCTAAAAGGGAACTCAGTACTTTAGCCATAACGTTCTGGCAAGATTCTCTCAAAGTTATGAACAAATGTACTTCCAAATTTATCTGGTTTTTAATAATGTTCTCAAAACATTAGCACAAAAACATTATTTCAACATTGTTCATGGAACATCTTTTCTGAAGCGTGTAGTTGGACGTTCATGTAACGTTTTTTTAAATGTTGCTACTTGTTTCAGAACATTCAGAGAACATTCAAAACTAACGTTTTCATAATGTTTGGAGAATGATACAATGGAATGTCCCCACAACGTTCACATAACCAAGGAAAAACGTTTTTAAAACATCTAAAAAACGTTCAGATCAGAGAGCATTCAGAAATAACGGTTTCATAACTTAATGGGAAAGGTAGCAAAACCTTTGTTTGCTGATTTCCACATGAAAAGGTAATTGCTACTTTTTTTAGAAAAAAAGTAATCTGATGACATTCGCAATTCTGAGTTTATATCTTAACAACAGAAACTCAGAATTGCGAGGAAAAAAGTCTGTTTGCCTGAGTTCTCATTTTTATTTGCTATGGTTTCTAATTGAGTTACACACCTGTTCCCTATTAATGATCTTCCCGACGTGTGTATTTAAGTTTGCGTTTTGGCCGTTCATTTAAATGACAACGGCATTTTGGTGGCATGAAAACGCAAACTTTTGAAAACAGGTTTTTGAAAGCGACACATCATTTCTGTGTAAACAACAAAACCGTGAATCTGTGAAAACGGTGACGTCATGCACATGCGTGTACATGTGCAGTCTATAGGCTTTTTTTTGGCAAATGAAAGGATACAGATATTAACAGTAAGAAATACGGACATCACAAGTTGTTGACAAGAATTACACAAATCAACACAATATAACATTTGTCATCCTGAAAAATGAAAGGTTCCTTGCAACAGACTCGAGGATGATACATGTTTTCTTTGTGTTCAAAGGTTTTGACATTTTCTTAAAGGAAGTAAAAATGGACTTTACATCAGAGGAGAACCTTCTAAAATTGGGATGACGGTAAATGTTTCTGGCTTTGTGAAGATGAAATGTAGTACAGCTACAGCGAACCATGACAGATCGCAAGACCTAATAGAATAAATTAGCTGGATAGAAAATGTATTTGCCTGCTGTACGCCTGGTTCTGCTGGAGAGCGGAGATCGCTCCCTCGAGGGACTTTAGATCTGTGAGCCTCACACTACCCAGGCCTGCCCACGAGTGCTCCTCTGGGAGTTTCCCAGCTCATGGGGAGTGGGTGCTGGTCAAGTCAAGTCACCTTTATTTATAAAGCGCTTTTTACAATACAGAGTGTTTCAAAGCAGCTTTACAGAGATAACAGGAAAATAATGCAACAAAGTTTGTTTCTAGAAGAAAATAGGGTTATAGTCCAGCTTAAGTAAGTTCAGAGATGGTTAATTGTTGTTGTAAAAAAGTTATTAATTTAGTAACTAAGCAGCCAAAAGCCGAAAGCGACAAAGGCAAGGAACCAAAACTCCATCAGTGACAGAATGGAGAAAAATACCTTGTATTAGACTCAGACTCAGTTGGGGGCCAGTTCTCCTCTGGCCCCCCTGGCTCCACCTCAGCCACCTCGGCCACTCGTCAACGCCACTCCACCTTGGCCACTCGTCACCCTGGCTCCACATCGGCCACTCGTCACCCTGGCTCCACCTCGGCCACTCGTCACTGCCGCTCCATCTCGGCCACTCGTCACCCTGGCTCCACCTCGGCCACTCGTCACCCTGGCTCCACCTCGGCCACTCGTCACCCTGGCTCCACCTCGGCCACTCGTCACCCTGGCTCCACCTCGGCCACTCGTCACCGCCGCTCCACCTCGGCCACTCGTCACCCTGGCTCCACCTTGGCCACTCGTCACCCTGGCTCCACCTCCGCCACTCATCACCACCGCTCCACCTCTGCCACTCGTCACCCTGGCTCCACCTCGGCCACTCGTCACCGCCGCTCCACCTCAGCCACTCGTCACCCTGGCTCCACCTCGGCCACTCGTCACCCTGGCTCCACCTCGGCCACTCGTCAACGCCACTCCACCTCGGCCACTCATCACCCTGGCTCCACCTCAGCCACTCGTCACCCTGGCTCCACCTCGACCACTCGTCACCCTGGCTCCACCTCGGCCACTCGTCACCCTGGCTCCACCTTGGCCACTCGTCAACGCCACTCCACCTTGGCCACTCATCACCCTGGCTCCACCTCGGCCACTCGTCACTGCCGCTCCACCTCGGCCACTCGTCACCCTGGCTCCACCTCGGCCACTCGTCACCACCGCTCCACCTCGGCCATTCGTCACCCTGGCTCCAGCTCGGCCACTCGTCACCCTGGCTCCACCTCGGCCACTCGTCACCCTGGCTCCACCTCGGCCACTCGTCACCCTGGCTCCACCTCGGCCACTCGTCACCGCCGCTCCACCTCGGCCACTCGTCACCCTGGCTCCACCTTGGCCACTCGTCACCCTGGCTCCACCTCGGCCACTCGTCACCGCCGCTCCACCTCGGCCACTCGTCACCCTGGCTCCACCTTGGCCACTCGTCACCCTGGCTCCACCTCGGCCACTCGTCACTGCTGCTCCATCTCGGCCACTCGTCACCCTGGCTCCACCTCGGCCACTCGTCACCCTGGCTCCACCTCGGCCACTCGTCACCCTGGCTCCACCTCGGCCACTCGTCACCCTGGCTCCACCTCGGCCACTCGTCACCGCCGCTCCACCTTGGCCACTCGTCACCCTGGCTCCACCTCAGCTACTCGTCACCCTGGCTCCACATCGGCCACTCGTCACCCTGGCTCCACCTCGGCCACTCGTCACTGCCGCTCCATCTCGGCCACTCGTCACCCTGGCTCCACCTCGGCCACTCGTCACCCTGGCTCCACCTCGGCCACTTGTCACTGCCGCTCCATCTCGGCCACTCGTCACCCTGGCTCCACCTCGGCCACTCGTCACCCTGGCTCCACCTCGGCCACTCGTCACCCTGGCTCCACCTTGGCCACTCGTCAACGCCACTCCACCTTGGCCACTCATCACCCTGGCTCCACCTCGGCCACTCGTCACTGCCGCTCCACCTCGGCCACTCGTCACCCTGGCTCCACCTCGGCCACTCGTCACCACCGCTCCACCTCGGCCATTCGTCACCCTGGCTCCACCTCGGCCACTCGTCACCATGGCTCCACCTCGGCCACTCGTCACCCTGGCTCCACCTCGGCCACTCGTCACTGCCGCTCCACCTCGGCCACTTGTCACCCTGGCTCCACCTTGGCCACTCGTCACCCTGGCTCCACCTCCGCCACTCGTCACCACCGCTCCACCTCGGCCATTCGTCAACCTGGCTCCACCTCGGCCACTCGTGACCCTGGATCCACCTCGGCCACTCGTCACCCTGGCTCCACCTCGGCCACTCGTCACCCTACTCAGCTTTACAGAGATAACTGGCTCCACCTCGGCCACTCGTCAACGCCACTCCACCTTGGCCTCCTGTTCCTACGGTGTCGCCCTATCTCTTCGTCTCCTCCGCTCCGCCTGGGTCTCCAACTCCCCTGGCTCCACTGCTGTCGGTCTGATTCCTGGCTCCACTTAGGCTTCTCCCTCCATTGGTTTTGTCATCATCTCCCCCCTCTATTGTCTCCTCCGTGGGGTTTCCCTCTGCTAGCCTCTCCTCTGTCACGATCTTTCCAGATCCGTGTCCTCCTCCAAAACCTCCTCCCTCCCTCCTCAGTTGGACTTATTACGGCATGGGATGTTCCTGTTTGCTTGAGTTCTCGTTTGTTCGTTCTCATTGTTAGTTGCTATGGTTTCTAATTGAGTTACACACCTGTTCCCTATTCTGTTAATTATCTTTCTTTGAGTATTTAAGTCCTTAGTTTTTTTTTCCCCATTAATAGCGATTCATAAGTTGGTGTGCATTTCACTAAATTAACATTTTTGTAAGTATTTAAAACAAAAATATTATATTAAAATTATATTCTCCAGCATCAGTCGTTCTGCTGTCATTCGGATGAATGTTAATGAATAGAGACTCCAGGACCTCAATCATATCAGATATATTTTGACATGACTATCTTATTACTATAGTAGTAAAATAGTAATTACTATGGTATATTATTACTCTCTAATGTCTTTAATGACTTTGATAAACTGATTTTGTCCATGTCATCAGACTGTCATTGATTGATATGAGCAAAGAAAGAGCTGGCCAATGTATTGGGAGTGTGTTTGCTGGTCTAGATTTAATAAGTATGTTCATCCCTGAGTTCCTGTGGGATCCATAATACAGACCATCACCAAATCCCCAGCATAACAGATGGAGCATCAGTCACTCTTTAGTCTCTGGAGTCGCACACTCACTGTATATAAGGACAGTTGCCACGGCCGTGCGAAAGCTTTGCCAGATCGGCTCCACGTACATCATAACACCAGTGCAGATCCACATGAACAGCGCCTGGACTGGTCGAACTGCAGTGATGGATTCAGGTGTGTGGCTGGTGATCGGCGTTCTGCTGGTGATGACTGATCTGAGCCAGTCCTTCCCGAAAGAGGATGCGCTGGAGCAGAGCAAACACCCGCTGGAATCACGTGAGGACTCCGACGGGAACACGGTGGAGAGTCGAGGGGTAAAACACTCGCACAACATTCATTAGCGATCTATTCATCTAACCCTGCTGTAAACGATCTGTTCATCTAATCCTGCTGTAGAAGTTAGGTAGTGCCACACCGTACTGGCATTAGGGCAGTAACTCAAACAAAGAAGTCTTGTATGGACATTTGTAATGATTAAGTTTAGTAATATAATACATTTAAATGTAATATCAAATAACACACTACAGTTAAAATTTTAATCAAGTACTTTACATGTGTTAGTCAACACAAAATTAAACATAAATTGATTCATAAAATGATTAAAAATTGACTTTTGACTATTACAAAGCACACTTTTTACATTTTAATGTTTTATTATCGTAATTCATTAGTATTATAATAACTTTATTATTTTAAAAGACAAAAGAACTTTTAATCAGTAATGTATCCTACTCATGAACGGTTCAATGTCTTTCTGTGAATTAAAGAATTTCATTCCCTTTTGCCACAATATCTTTAAAAGTATCAATAAAACCCATAACATTACTTGTTGGATGGTAAAATTCACATGTCATGAACTCTTAAAAATCCTAATCAAATACTGTTTGAATCATCATCAAAAGCAGCCGATAGATTCCTCTGGCTATGAAATGTGGCTTGGAGCGTTTTCTAAATGAAAAGGACGTTCACCGCAGCTAGTTCCTGTAGTTAGTGGTAGCACATTCGAGTAAAAGAGCACCTGGTCTACCTGAACTACTGTGTAACATCAGTGTTTGTGAAGGAACGGATGCTGATGATGACTGTGTTATGGGTGTGTGAGATGCTGATGATGACTGTGTTATGGGTGTGTGAGATGCTGATGGTGACTGTGTTATGGGTGTGTGAGATGCTGATGATGACTGTGTTATGGGTGTGTATCAGGCCACGGAGGAGCAGATGGATCATCTACTGGAGGACCGTCTTCTGGTGGAGATGTTGCGGTCTTTACTCCAGGACTCTCAGAGATATGAACGCAACCCTTCAGTGCTGCACCAGCCCCAGCGGTGCGTAGTTTCACACACAGCACATCAAAATCTTTAAAGTAACCATCTTAATTATAATGATGAATGTCAACCAGGTAAAAACTCATGAGTTTGTGAAACATTCTATTCTTGTCATACTGATCAAGTACTGAATAATACTATATGTTTTTACACAAACAGTCATCATATATGTATTCTTACTACAAAAATGTAGATTTTTTTGCATCAATGCAACCCTCATGCGATTGCTGTACTGATGTTGCGGGTGTAGGAGAAGCTCTCAGTGATCCGACCGCTGTACTGATGTAGCGGGTGTAGGAGAAGGTCTCAGTGATGCGACCGCTGTACTGATGTAGCGGGTGTAGGAGAAGGTCTCAGTGATGCGACCGCTGTACTGATGTAGCGGGTGTAGGAGAAGCTCTCAGTGATGCAACCGCTGTACTGATGTAGCGGGTGTAGGAGAAGCTCTCAGTGATGCGACCGCTGTACTGATGTAGAGGGTGTAGGAGAAGCTCTCAGTGATGCCAGCGCTGTATTGATGTAGAGGGTGTAGGAGAAGCTCTCAGTGATGCGACCGCTGTACTGATGTAGTGGGTGTAGGAGAAGGTCTCAGTGATGCGACCGCTGTACTGATGTAGCGGGTGTAGGAGAAGGTCTCAGTGATGCCAGCGCTGTACTGATGTAGAGGGTGTAGGAGAAGCTCTTAGTGATGCCAGCGCTGTATTGATGTAGAGGGTGTAGGAGAAGCTCTCAGTGATGCGACCGCTGTACTGATGTAGTGGGTGTAGGAGAAGGTCTCAGTGATGCGACCGCTGTACTGATGTAGCGGGTGTAGGAGAAGGTCTCAGTGATGCCAGCGCTGTACTGATGTAGCGGGTGTAGGAGAAGGTCTTAGTGATGCCAGCGCTGTACTGATGTAGAGGGTGTAGGAGAAGCTCTCAGTGATGCCAGCGCTGTATTGATGTAGCGGGTGTTGGAGAAGGTCTCAGTGATGCGACCGCTGTACTGATGTAGTGGGTGTAGGAGAAGGTCTCAGTGATGCGACCGCTGTACTGATGTAGTGGGTGTAGGAGAAGCTCTCAGTGATGCGACCGCTGCACTGATGTAGCGGGTGTAGAAGCTCTCAGTGATGCCAGCGGTGTACTGATGTAGCGGGTGTAGGAGAAGCTCTCAGTGATGCCAGCGCTGTACTGATGTAACGGGTGTAGGAGAAGGTCTCAGTGATGCGACCGCTGTACTGATGTAGCGGGTGTAGGAGAAGGTCTCAGTGATGCAATTGCTGTACTGATGTAGCGGGTGTAGGAGAAGGTCTCAGTGATGCGATTGCTGTACTGATGTAGCGGGTGTAGGAGAACGTCTCAGTGATGGCAGCGCTGTACTGATGTAGCGGGTGTAGGAGAAGCTCTCAGTGATGCCAGCGGTGTACTGATGTAGCGGGTGTAGGAGAAGGTCTCAGTGATGCGACCGCTGTACTGATATAGCGGGTGTAGGAGAAGCTCTCAGTGATGCCAGCGCTGTACTGATGTAGCGGGTGTAGGAGAAGGTCTCAGTGATGCAATTGCTGTACTGATGTAGCGGGTGTAGGAGAAGGTCTCAGTGATGCGATTGCTGTACTGATGTAGCGGGTGTAGGAGAACGTCTCAGTGATGGCAGCGCTGTACTGATGTAGCGGGTGTAGGAGAAGCTCTCAGTGATGTGACCGCTGTACTGATGTAGCGGGTGTAGGAGAAGCTCTCAGTGATGCCAGCGGTGTACTGATGTAGCGGGTGTAGGAGAAGGTCTCAGTGATGCGACCGCTGTACTGATGTAGCGGGTGTAGGAGAAGCTCTCAGTGATGTGACCGCTGTACTGATGTAGCGGGTGTAGGAGAAGCTCTCAGTGATGCCAGCGGTGTACTGATGTAGCGGATGTAGGAGAAGGTCTCAGTGATGCGACCGCTGTACTGATGTAGCGGGTGTAGGAGAAGCTCTCAGTGATGCGACCGCTGTACTGATGTAGCGGGTGTAGGAGAAGCTCTCAGTGATGCGACCGCTGTACTGATGTAGCGGGTGTAAGAGAAGCTCTCAGTGATGCGACCGCTGTACTGATGTAGCGGGTGTAGGAGAAGCTCTCAGTGATGCGACCGCTGTACTGATGTAGCGGGTGTAGGAGAAGCTCTCAGTGATGTGACCGCTGTACTGATGTAGCGGGAGTAGGAGAAGCTCTCAGTGATGCAAGCGCTGTACTGATGTAGCGGGTGTAGGAAAAGCTCTCAGTGATGCGACCGCTGTACTGATGTAGCGGGTGTAGGGGAAGCTCTCAGTGATGCGACCGCTGTACTGATGGAGAGGGTGTAGGAGAAGCTCTCAGTGATGCCAGCGCTGTATTGATGTAGAGGGTGTAGGAGAAGGTCTCAGTGATGCGACCGCTGTACTGATGTAGCGGGTGTAGGAGAAGGTCTCAGTGATGCGACCGCTGTACTGATATAGCGGGTGTAGGAGAAGCTCTCAGTGACACCAGCGCTGTACTGATGTAGCGGGTGTAGGAGAAGGTCTCAGTGATGTGACCGCTTTACTGATATAGCGGGTGTAGGAGAAGGTCTCAGTGATGCGACCGCTGTATTGATGTAGCGGGTGTAGGAGAAGCTCTCAGTGATGCCAGCGCTGTACTGATGGAGCGGGTGTAGGAGAAGGTCTCAGTGATGCCAGCACTGTACTGATGTAGCGGGTGTAGGAGAAGGTCTCAGTGATGCGACCGCTGTACTGATGTAGCGGGTGTAGGAGAAGCTCTCAGTGATGAGACCGCTGTACTGATGTAGCGGGTGTAGGAGAAGCTCTCAGTGATGCCAGCGCTGTACTGATGTAGCGGGTGTAGGAGAAGGTCTCAGTGATGCGACCGCTGTATTGTTTTAGCGGGAGTAGGAGAAGCTCTCAGTGATACCAGCGCTGTACTGATGTAGCGGGTGTAGGAGAAGGTCTCAGTGATGCGACCGCTGTACTGATGTAGCGGGTGTAGGAGAAGCTCTCAGTGACACCAGCGCTGTACTGATGTAGCGGGTGTAGGAGAAGGTCTCAGTGATGCGACCGCTGTACTGATGTAGCGGGTGTAGGAGAAGCTCTCAGTGATGCAAGCGCTGTACTGATGTAGCGGGTGTAGGAGAAGGTCTCAGTGATGCGACCGCTGTACTGATGTAGCGGGTGTAGGAGAAGGTCTCAGTGATGCCACCGATGTACTGATGTAGCGGGTGTAGGAGAAGCTCTCAGTGATGCGACCGCTGTACTGATGTAGCGGGTGTAGGAGAAGGTCTCAGTGATGAGACCGCTGTACTGATGTAGCGGGTGTAGGAGAAGCTCTCAGTGATGCGACCACTGTACTGATGTAGCGGGTGTAGGAGAAGCTCTCAGTGATGCGACCGCTGTACTGATGTAGCGGGTGTAGGAGAAGCTCTCAGTGATGCCAGCGCTGTACTGATGTAGCGGGTGTAGGAGAAGCTCTCAGTGATGCCAGCGCTGTACTGATGTAGCGGGTGTAGGAGAAGATCTCAGTGATGCGACCACTGTACTGATGTAGCGGGTGTAGGAGAAGATCTCAGCGATGCGATTGCTGTACTGATGTAGCGGGTGTAGGAGAAGCTCTCAGTGATGCCAGCGCTGTACTGATGTAGCGGGTGTAGGAGAAGGTCTCAGTGATGCGACCGCTGTACTGATGTAGCGGGTGTAGGAGAAGGTCTCAATGATACGACCGCTGTATTGTTTTAGCGGGAGTAGGAGAAGCTCTCAGTGATACCAGCGCTGTACTGATGTAGCGGGTGTAGGAGAAGGTCTCAGTGATGCAACCGCTGTACTGATGTAGCGGGTGTAGGAGAAGCTCTCAGTGACACCAGCGCTGTACTGATGTAGCGGGTGTAGGAGAAGGTCTCAGTGATGCGACCGCTGTACTGATGTAGCGGGTGTAGGAGAAGCTCTCAGTGATGCAAGCGCTGTACTGATGTAGCGGGTGTAGGAGAAGGTCTCAGTGATGCGACCGCTGTACTGATGTAGCGGGTGTAGGAGAAGGTCTCAGTGATGCGACCGATGTACTGATGTAGCGGGTGTAGGAGAAGCTCTCAGTGATGCCAGCGCTGTACTGATGTAGCGGGTGTAGGAGAAGGTCTCATTGATGCGACCGCTATACTGATGTAGCGGGTGTAGGAGAAGCTCTCAGTGATGCGACCGCTGTACTGATGTAGCGGGTGTAGGAGAAGGTCTCAGTGATGCGACCGCTGTACTGATGTAGCGGGTGTAGGAGAAGGTCTCAGTGATGCGACCGATGTACTGATGTAGCGGGTGTAGGAGAAGGTCTCAGTGATGCGACCGATGTACTGATGTAGCGGGTGTAGGAGAAGCTCTCAGTGATACCAGCACTGTACTGATGTAGCGGGTGTAGGAGAAGCTCTCAGTGATGCGACCGCTGTACTGATGTAGCGGGTGTGGGAAAAGCTCTCAGTGATACCAGCACTGTACTGATGTAGCGGGTGTAGGAGAAGCTCTCAGTGATGCGACCGCTGTACTGATGTAGCGGGTGTAGGAGAAGGTCTCAGTGATACCAGCACTGTACTGATGTAGCGGGTGTAGGAGAAGCTCTCAGTGATGCGACCGCTGTACTGATGTAGCGGGTGTGGGAGAAGCTCTCAGTGATGCGACCGCTGTACTGATGTAGCGGGTGTAGGAGAAGCTCTCAGTTATGCGACCGCTGTACTGATGTGGCGGGTGTAGGAGAAGCTCTCAGTGATGCGACCGCTGTACTGATGTAGCGGGTGTAGGAAAAGCTCTCATTGATGCGACGGCTGTACTGATGTAGCGGGTGTAGGAGAAGGTCTCAGTGATGCAACCGCTGTACTGATGTAGCGGGTGTAGGAGAAGCTCTCAGTGATGCGACCGCTGTACTGATATAGCGGGTGTAGGAGAAGCTCTCAGTGACACCAGCGCTGTACTGATGTAGCGGGTGTAGGAGAAGGTCTCAGTGATGCGACCGCTTTACTGATGTAGCGGGTGTAGGAGAAG